CTAAATCCCCGGCCCATTTCTAATGTTTTATAGAAATTACTGCAATTGTAGAACAAATTATGTAATATGTGAATGGATAAGGTTTTTCCTTTTTTCAGTTGTAATTGAAATTACCTGATTAAGTTACCCTGAAAAGTAGTTGGGTTGGGGGGGGGTGTTGTTTGTCACCTTGCACATTTACTCTTACTCCTTGTCATATTACATTTTCCTCTAAATCCTCTGTTCTTCATAATCTCTAGTGCAGTGCAGTAGTGTTGGTTTTAGACCGGAAGTACAGCAGACTGCCCTATGCAGTGGTGGAACTTGATCTAGATTATCATAAATCAGTATTTTTGTGGCCTAGACATTACTGGACCTTTGAAGCCAAATGTAACCAACTCTGGCATTGTAGACTTTCTTTGTATAAAGTTGCCAGTAATCTGGAGACAAGTTTAGAAACAGTTCTGGTCTCACCCTGGGAACCAGGATGTGATGTTATTTGCCTCCTATGTAAATAAAAATGGAGATAATAACACCAGGGTGGTTTGTGTTTTGTTTTGCTTGGCTTTTGTTTTGTCTTCTTTTTTTCTTCCTCGGTACCAAGATCAAACTCTTGTACCAAGATCTTGCTCTTGTGAGGCAGGCACGGCACCACTGAGTTTAATACCCAGCTGTTTTTGTTTTTGAGGTATTTTCTGGCTATATAGTTCAGGCTGTCCTCGAATCAACAGCAATCCTCCTGCCTCAGCCTCCAGAGTGCTCAGAATACAGGTGTGTGCCACCACACCTGACAACACCTGTGTTTTCTGCCTCGTAAACTTGTTAGATAAAATACGTGAGATGATGGGTATAAAAGTGGTCAGTAAATACAAAACACTCTTTGGAACGGTAATTTTTTGTTCATTTTGTCTGGAGTAATGCCTGTAGGAGTGATAAGGGAGGAAAGCATCTGAGAAAGAAAATACATATATCTAGATGCGGTAAATTAGCCTTCGCTGGCACTGGATCGAAAAGTATCTTGTAAATTTATACATTAAAAAGCAAGCCAGGTGTGGTGGCGCATGCCTGTGATCCTGGCACTTGGGAGGCTGAGGCAGGAGGGTTGTCACAAGGCCAGCCTGCACTATATGGCAAGACTCTGTCTCAAAAAAAAAAATAAAAAGCAGAATAAATCATATTCTCAAGCTATAATTTTATATCATAACTAATATAAGCAACTGTTTAACACCGCGTTAGAGACCAAGGGTTATTAGACTCTAATCATTTTAAAGTTTTCAGATCATCTCCACTGCGTTCTTTGTACTGATAATAAATGTAGCTTTTGCCTCACCAGTAAGCACACCAGTAAGCCCAGCACACAAGAGCCCGAGGCAGGAAGATTGCCTCAAGTTGGAGGCTAGCCTGGGCTACATAAGACTTTAAAGGCCAGACTAAACTACAAAGCAAGACCCTGTAAAATGTAGCTTTTGTAGGTGTCATAATTGTTCTGTGCTTATTTTTATAATTTTGAGGGAGATCAGCACCATTCTTATTTTTCTTGTTTTGTGTTAATATTTTTGTTTTTTGTCTTTTGTTTTTTTTATTTTTTGTATGGGGGCTGAACCTTACACTTGTGAGGCAGGCAGTGGAACCACTGAGCTAAATCCCCAGCCCACTGTGTTAATATTTTTGATATAATACATAGTAACAACCCTCATAAACCTACATAATATTACCTTGAAAGGAGTAAAGTACAGATCTGGGAGGAGTGTTTTGTGATATTCACAAACATATAAACTGTTCATTAAAAGGTGAACATAAATAATTTTTTTCATAAATAATTTTAGAATAAAACCTTTTTGTTTAAATGGGCAAGTGATAATTTGCCTGTTTTCCTGTTCCAACCATAATTGATTTCAGCATAGGTGGTTATTACTTGCACCAGATTAGCAGCAGTGTTAAATTGCATAATAGTAAAATTTTAAGGTATAGTTTAGACAGTTCTAAATATCAGCTTAATACTTAATTTTTGCTTATTTTCCTAAACTACATATAGATATTGCTTTCATCTCAACTGGATGCGCCACACCTCCCCTCAGGAGGAATTCCATTACTTCCTTGATTTTTTTTTTTTTCTTTTTTTTTTTTTTTGTACCAGGGATCAAACTTGGGCCATTGTGTTTGCGAGGCAGGCAGCAGAACCTCTGAACCAAATCCCTGGCCCTTTCCTTGATTTTTAACTTCTCTGAGGTTAGGGACTTTGGAATTCATCATCACCTCCAGAGGTAACGGGCATTAGAAAGGATTTGAATGCCACCACTACCACCAGTCTATTGAGAAATTGCATTATTTCTGTTGCTTTTTATTATTTTAACAAATAGCATAACAAAGTGTTACTTCCCCATTCTGATTTTTTGTAAATTTGTGAACAAAAAAATGGGAAATGGCTACAGCTAACTTGAGTCAGCAATGTCCTGATTTCCTTCAAAATGATTTGCCCTTATAAACTCCTTTCTTGTTTGTTTCCTGTTCTTACAGCTTGGTGATAAAGTGCTTCCAGGATCAGTACTCTCAGTCATTTAAATTGTTTTAATCTACTAGTGTACTCACCACCCCCAAAGTTCTTGATGAAATGAAGTTAACCTATTTATATTTTCTTCTGTCTAACTGGTGTGATTATCCCTTAAACTAAGTATCTGTGACAATACACTGGATTGTATTAACATTACAAGACTCAGTATGTTATAGTAAAAGTTGGATAAGTAGGCTAAGAGCTGAAGGACTTGAGCTTTTAATATCTGAATGACTAGTTATCAGATGATAAACTTGTTCAATTGGTAAAGCAGCTAAAAGGCAAGATTTGGCTTCTGGAATTTTATAAGAGAAATATTTTCTCTTACAGATGAATAGCCTTACCAACAGAAATTTATATAGCATATAGGTAGATTCCCAGAAAATATTTTCATTGTATTTTTTGAAGGTAAAACATAATCCTACTTATGTAGTTTAACAGGCAAAATAAATCCAAGAGGTTGTGTAAATTATCCAGCATTATACTTTGCAGTTAATTTAGTAATTGCAGGCCTTGGGAATTCATTGGTTGCAACTTTAGGTCACTGCTTTTATTTTTGCAATGTTATGTGTTTTTTCTGGTTACTTGAGGTATTTGAAAATAATATCTAGAACATCTTGACGCTTTTTCAATACCAAATAGAAAGAGGAGATGATAGGGGAAGCTTTTCTGATTATTGAATGTGTAGAAATACACTTACTTTAGAACAGAGTCTTGAGAAAACTGAACGTTGAGAAGTATAGTGAATTAAAATCTGAAAGAGACTGTCCATTTTCAACTGCTAGCACTTCAGCATAATTCTAGAGTAGTCATTACAATATTATGCACATATTTGATCTTGTTGACTATAATCCTGGTCAAATAGGAATTGTTTGGTAAATTAGGTCACCCCTCCATGGTTGCTGTCAGAAAGTAGTCTATAGAGTAACTAGTAAAGATGTGTTAAAGTAGAGGTTGTAAGAAACAGAAATTGCTATAAAGTCCAGATTGTTTTAAGTGTTTTCACTAATTTTTCAAAATTTCCTGGCTCACTTTTCTCAGAGAGTTGAAAATACCTTACTCCTATATATAAACAAACTAGCTTTTCAAAGCAAATATTTTGCTTTGAGAAACAATCAGTATCTTCCATGTTTTTCTGTTCTATTGAGTGGCTCTGCAAAAATTTAAATCTTTTGGGAGTGAAATCATTCCTTGAATATAAGTAAACATTCATGGTGGGAGGAGAGCCTTCCCCATCTCAATGAAGATGTGAATTTAGTTTACCTTGTGAAATGTAGCACTTTAGCAAAATTCCCATTCTATGTTGATCTAGAACATAATGCTTTTTTTCTTGCTTTTTTTTTTTTTTTTGGTATGACTCTCTTTGTCCTTTGAGTACTGTAATATCATAGCAGATGGGACACCCATAAATATGGTCACAACATTGTTTGTTGTTTTTTGTTGTTGTTATTGTTGCTGTTGTTGTTGTTTTGATACAAGGGATTCAACTCAACCTTGAATTTGCGAGGCAGGCGTGGTGCCATTGAGCTAAATCCCTGGCCCACCACTGTTTTAGAAGACCAGTTGATATGAATATAAATGTGGGTATCATTTTAAGTTACTTATAAAAGTATTTATAAGCTTTTAGAGATCAAATAGTGAAAAGACACTTTGCATGAAAATAGTAAAGACTTGCTACAATATGTCATTGTCCCTGTACCACCTTCCTTCCTCTCCTCTGGTGTCACCCACTTATAACATTTAGTATTGTTAGTGATGTTTTATGGCTCTGAAGAAATATGTGTTGCTCTTATTTTTTAATAACTTTATCTGTTGACTCTAAATGAGCTAAATACTCATTTATACTGCTTGCCTCTATATTGGTCACTATTTTTGTGATACTGTTCACCATTTGATCTTTATGATTTCTTCTATTTCCTCAACCAAAGGAAATGTCTAAGAAAGACTCTTCTCTTTGTAAAATAAGGATATTGCCACTTATATCCTTCCTTTTAACCACCTTTAAAATTTGACTCAAGCGTGTAAATGTTACTAGTGTTCAGATTCTAGAATAACCTCTATCCAACAGAATATTTATTTTTTTGTGTAGCCCATAATATGGAATACATTTTAAATAACAGCCAGAATGAATGTATGTGTACGTATTCAACTGAAGTCAAATATTCTTACAGGCCTTTGGTTTTTTTGTTTTGTTTGTTTTGTTTTGTTTTTTTTTGGTACTGGGGATCAAACTCCTTGTGCTTGCAAGGCAGTTGCTGGAACCACTGAGCTAAATCCCCGGCCCTCTGAAGACAAATATTCTTACTTAACAATATTCTTACTACAAACAGTACTCTACTATATTTTGTACTTTGGCAATTTTCTGTTCTAATTCTTTAAAAGAAAATTTCAACTCCTTAAATTGGTTTCATGACCAGATCCCTGAACTAAAGCAGTGGAGGTATTAACTAAGGTGTATTATTGCACCTTGTTACCGTGGAAGTTGTGTTACTGTGGTCTTTCTTTCCTCACAGGCCGTTGGCTCTCTGGATTATCAGGAGTTTGTAGTTGACATTGAATCCAGCCTGAGGATGGAAGGTGTGGAACTGAAAGAAGAATGGCAAGATGAAGATTTTCCAAGGTGAACAGTGCTTTTCAGTGAAAACAGATTTAGAACAAAACTTCAGAATTTATTGAGATACTGGGCTTTGTAAAGTGATCATTTGGTACTAGGAAATGAAAATTCCAACAGTTTGCTTCTCTTGTATCTTACTTTCCGAGGAAATATGTTTATAATCCATAGTTTTTCATATTTGTTTTGATGATTTAAATTTCAAATTTTTTGTTGTACACAGTGTTTTAATATGGCATTTTTAAAAATTAGGGCTGAAAGACTTCTAGAATAGTCTTTTGTTGTTTCTAAGACATTTTAAATTGTGTTGGGGTTTTTTCCTGAGAAAAAAATGTAGTTAATAAATAAACAAGGATCTTCTCTATTATCTGGCCAGCCACTTTGCCACTTCTACAAAGGCCAGTTTATATTTAAATGCTGCTTTCATGATCATGGTCAGAAGATTTGGAAATTAGAATATGAACAGCTATTGGCAGAGCTGTTTCACGTAGCACATGATGAGAGCAATATAGAAATGCTGAACTCAGTTACAAATAAAATTAAGCTGCCCCATGCAATGCAACATATATCAGTTTTATGTGACTTACATGTCAGCTCTGACAGTCCAAAGCTTTTTTCTTTAGAAGTAATTTGTAAGTTATTAAAGCTTAAAGAATACTTCCTCACTCCATTTTCCACATAATTGTTTCTGTAAGTTGTATTTTTCGTAGACCTTTGAACTTCAGATATACATATATTTGAGTATGTATATGTCTTTTAGACCTTTACCAGAAGATGATAGTATTGAAGCAGATATACTCGGTGTACCTGGACCAGAGAACCAGCCTGGTAAGAACTTCATGTTTTCATTTTCAGAGGACTTTGTGCTAATTTTTAGCATACGGTATTTTTTTTTTTAATCCCAAAACAAAGAACAAGAACGCCATCATAGGAGTAAAGAATAAATTGACCATGTAGAGAAGCAGTTTTGGAGTGCTTGAGAAATTTTAACTTTTCCAAAACAAACCCTTGATTTTTGGAAATTTATACAGGAAATGGGAGTAGATCCTTTTTAGTAGTAAGTTGTGATTGTAAAGTCAGCCTCTATTGTTTAAAAAAAAAACATTGGTACCTCTTTGATCTTGTGTCAGCATCACACAGCTGAAGCGATCAAAATCCAAATTTTATAAATTAATGCTTTGGGGCTATCGTGACTTTTCTCATGATAGCCTATCTTATGTTCTCCAGGGCATATTTTAGCTTGTTTTTTCCTCTTTTACTTGGCCCATGCTTGCTCTGCAGAGCCAGTTTCTCCCTCCCTCTTCACTTTTGCTTTTTCAAAGAAACTTTGCTACCATTTTTTGCTTGTTTCATCCACTTCTTTGTTTGAGAGGAGAACCTGGACTCCAATTCCAGGAGGAGACATAAGCAGCACCAAACCCAGTCACGTTTATTTGGTGAACCACTTCGAGAAGGAGCTATCCCATAACATTATTTGGTGTAGCCAGCCGGGAGACCAGGTTTTTATTTCTTCAACTCAGCCATGAGCCACAGCACCCCAAGGTAGTTAGAGAGCACGTACTACCCAGTAGGTAGGGTCTCCAGCCCCTTCTGTTTTGGAGGAGCTCTACGAGACAGTCCCCCATTCCCTCGGCACCCAATGAGGAATTACGGGGATATGTGTCTCTCGGCTGGGACTGAGACAGCAGACTAGGGGACGGCAGACCTGGCTGGGGAAGGGGCTGCTTGCCTGTTAATTGTAAGATCCTGCAACCCATACACAGAACAGTTCCCAAAGCTCTGCACGTGGACTTCTTGAAAGAATTTGAGCCGGTGAAGGTGGACTAGACCTGAGTTCAGCCTGAGACGTAAGATCCCAGCACCACCTCTCAGGACCTGCCATGTAGAAGCTCTCGTAGGTTTCCTCAGGATTTGGATAGCATGAAAGTACACAGACACCGTGAAAAGCTTGCTGTCAAGGCTTTCCTCATGTTAGCCCATCCTTTGTTCTCCAGGATGTACTTTTGTCTTGCTTTTTTCCTCTTTTACTCAACCCAAGTTGTTCTGCAGTGCCAGTTTCTCTTTCTTCACTTTTGCCTTTTCAAATAATCTTTGCTATCTTTTTTTTTTAAGCTTTGGAATTTTGTTTCTGTTTTTCTTAAATGAAATGACTAAAGTGTTTATCTTATTCAACTTGAACATCTAAAGCAGTGGTGGCAAACCTATGGCACGCATATGCCATGGTGGACATGCAAAGACCCCTTTGTTGGCACACCAGCCAAGTTGCCCTAGCATCGCCCCAACAGCTGAGCATCAGATAACCACACATGGGGGCATGCACGTGCTTGTAAAGGAGTAGCAGCACCAGGCAGTGACGTCGTGAGCAGTTTGGGTACTTGACCTCTAAATGGTTTGCCATGACTGATCTAAAGCATTCCTATAATAAATTCTTTCTTTGTTTCCTAATTCCAGACTCACCAGAAGGTAATGGAAATAAAGTGAGAAAGAAATTAATGGCTCCAGACATTAGCCTGACTCTGGATCCTAGCGATGGCTCTGTGTTGTCAGATGACTTGGATGAAAGTGGGGAGATCAACTTAGATGGCTTGGACACACCATCGGAGAATAGTAATGAATTTGAGTGGGAAGGTAACTGTGCCACTGTTCTCACCTGACTTGTTCGTGAATGTTCGTCTTTGTACACATATGTGCTTTTACAATGGCATTCTCTTCAGGAGAATGAAGATAACTGGTAAACCTGAAAACTTGTTAGTGAAGCCTGCTAAACTCAGTGTTTTAAAATATTTTGTTATTTGAAAAGTTCATAGACTTGTGTTACTGAGATACAAAATTGTGCAAACACTTGAATATTCATTCTCTGCTTTGACAAAGTTTTTTTAGTGTTTTTTGTTTTTTAACAATGTAATAAAATAATGTTTTCTCCTTAAATTCCTTTAAAAAATAAGGGCTGGTAATTATAGCATGCTTTTTTTCAGTTGGTGAAGTAAGTAGAAAACTTTTCAGCAGATATAACATAGGAAATGTGCTAAAAGAAGTTGAGGATTTGCAGAGAGGGAGTTCTGAAGAAGTTTTGGGGATGATTTTTAAGTATGTTTGTCCAGTAGTACTCTACTTTGTGAAATTACCTACTTGAATTAATGTATACACTTAGCCTCCATACCTTATATTTGTTTTAATTTGGAATTCAAAGGAACTGGCATATATTTGGTTTTTGCATGCTTTCTTGAATTTATGTCATTGCTGTCTATGATCTTTTCATATAATTGTTAATTATATATAGATAGATAGATAGATACACACACACAGACACACACACACACACACACACACACCATATTTAAAATGATCTTCCCTTCAAAGGCATATATAGCTTTAGGTATTTTATCTTCAGTGAAGAGTGGTATGTTATATCTTTTGTTCCTTTTTTCCTTCCCCATTTTGCTGATTCAGTAAGCAGTCCAGTAATAAGCAATATATTATAAAGATACTGAAATAGTTTTCTGCCTATGTGTTTTGTCTCTTTCTCTAATGCTGCTGTAGTCATTTCCTGGAAGGATATTTTCCGTTAACAGCTTTGTCTTGGAAACAACTAACACGCAGTAGGTTCCCCTTCCCCCATCTTTTGGTAAGGACTATGATACTGAAATCTTGAAAATCATTACTTCTTTAAAAATCAACTAAATTGCAATCTTTAAACATAAATTACACCTAATCATTGGTGCTTATTCTTTGGCTAATATTAATTTAAATAGACTTTGCATGTATTCTCGAGAATATACATATATTTCTGCTTCATAAAACTGATTACATGAAAAATGAGCACTAAGTCGTTAACCACTTTCTACCTGGTATTTAAATGTTGGTCATTTACATTCTCAAAACAGTTGGCACTCAGGTAGTTACCTGAAGTAAATTGTAGTAGTAACTATCATGAGCAGTGATGTTCATGCAATCTAGAAAGCCGTTGTAGAACCATTGTAAGATTGCGATGGCTTTATAAACTATCTTCTCTGAATTTTTGGAGGTAAATTACACTGGGATTAGATGCTTTGTTGAATTGGGCGATAAAGGAAGTTTCCAGAAAATGACTTCCGAAGACATATAATGGCCTTATATTAAGACTAAGCCTTTTATTATGAAAGAGATATTTCAAATTCTACTAATGATATAATGAAAATTCTCCAAATAGCCGGGCACACTGGCCTGTTTCTGTGGTCCCAGCTACTTGGGATCACTTGAGCCCAGGAGTTTGAGGCCAGCCTGGGCAACAAAGTATGACCCTTCCTCAAAAAAATAGAAGAAGGAAACAAGAAGCATAATCTAGATAGTAAAGTGGTTAACAAGAAATTTGATTTTTATTGTATAACAATTTGAACTCAAAGACCGTTTATTTTGACAGATGATCTTCCAAAACCCAAGACTACTGAAGTCATCAGGAGAGGCTCAGTTACTGAGTACACAGCGGCAGAGGAGCAAGAAGATGGGCGACGCTGGCGCATGTTCAGGATTGGGGAACAGGACCACCGGGTTGATATGAAGGCAATCGAACCCTATAAAAAAGTCATCAGCCATGGAGGTAAGAGTGACAAAAGATTGTTCAGATTTTTTTAATGCGCCATCCAAAATCTAGATTTTAGAAAATATCCCTAGAGATGTTAACGTAATTCTGAAAGAACAATAAACATGTCATTTTAGGGACATAGTTTGAGGTAAGAGAATAAAACCTACACATAAAAACTGTTACCATATTCAGTCAGTAAATTCAGAAAGCGAATGAGTGCAGAGAAACATGTTCCCCCGCACACACCCTAAGATGGGAGTTTACCCTCTCCCCTTTTTGTGCGTTTATAATTTATATACAGTGAAATAGTCTGATTTTAAGTGTGTAGTTCAATGAATTTTGATCCACCTGTATAACCACAAGTGCTCATATTTATAACCCACACTCCTAAATATATAGAACATTTTCATTGTTCCAGAAATTTTTCTAGCATTTCTATCCAGTAAATAACCACTGTCCTCATGTCTACCCAAATGATTAGTTTTGCCTCTTCAGAATTTTGTTTAGGGTCACATATATTCACTCTTGTACTGCTTTTTGTTCATCATATTTTTAGAGTTCATGCATATTGTTGGATTTATTCATAGTTTATTCCTACTGATGAATACCCCACTGCATTTGCATATCCTTTCTCTTTCTTACGGGCATGTAAGTTGTTTCCAGTTTGGACTATCATGATAAAACTTTTATGAACGTTCCTATACAAGTCTTTTCTTGAATATTAGTGAAACTTGGACTTTTTAAACTGTAATGCTAACTTACCTTAAAACACTGAACAAATAAATTATTTAGCTTTAGTAGAAAACTTAATTCCACATTTTTATGGAGCACCTGCAAATTTGTGGGGTACACAAAAATAACAAAGTTTAGTTCTTGCCCTCAGGAAATTTGTAAGTCAAATAGATATGCCATGAAAGTACAAATCATAAATCCTGCTAATCCAACTGTACCAAATACAGGCGTTTACCTAGGCACTGTGTAAATGGTGCCAGGATGTTATTGGTAGTCAGAGTACAATTTGCTTTGTAGAATGTGTCATATTCCCTTAAATGCTCCCAACCCTGGGCAGAGGAGCACAGGTTGAGGAGCTTGCTTTTTTCCCCCTCATTTTCACTTAATTTACACTCTGCCAGCTGCATTCTTTTGCTTATTTCTACAGTCTTCATTCATCTGAAAGCAATCGCTTGAATATTTGCAGTTACATTCTTCTGCCTAATTTAACCTTATTCAGATGAAGAAAACAGGATAATCTGGTTCAAGAAGTCCACAGACACATATTAATTCATCTGGTTCACAGAAATGAAGTTGTGAGACCTGCCTTATGCTTTAAACCCAGTCTCTTTGTGAAGTAACACTTTATTTTTCTTATTGGAAAATAATCAGTACATCTTAGCCTATTGGATTATCATACTTAATATGTTTTGTGACTGAGGAATTAAAAATTTATTAAAGGCCTAGGGATGTAGCTCAGTGGCACCGTGCCTTTCTGGCCAGCACAAGGTCCTGGAAAAGAAAAAATGAAGATTCTAATGTTCTTGAAATGTTCAGATCTTTTCAATAAGCATGTACATAATAAAACATACACATTAGTTTTTCACCACTAATTATGTCAGAAATGTGATCTAGATTTTAATATACTAAATTATACAAAATGTTAGGCATTGTTGAATATAAAGCTATCTTTTAAAAAGCACCCTTTAACCATAAGTTGCATAAGAATTTTATTTTACCTATGTATTGTTTCTACTTGGATTATATCACTATATTTGTCTAGTTGCTAAAATATGGCCAGCTTTTTAACTACACAAATTAAAGTTTTCTGTCAGCCATACAGATGCACTGTAGACTATCGTCACAATCATGCGAGTGATTTGATCTTTTATTTCTTTTTCAGGCTATTACGGGGATGGATTAAATGCCATTGTTGTGTTCGCTGTCTGTTTTATGCCAGAGAGTGGTCAGCCCAACTATAGATACCTGATGGACAATCTCTTTAAGTAAGTGTACTGTAACAAAAATGTTTGGACACTTCTCAGATAATCATATTTCTACTTTAAGGAAGTGAAAGCAAAAATCATAAATCTGGATGGAAAAATCATAAACTCAGTTCTGAATTCTTGTTCTTGCATTATGAAACTATAGTTTTCCAACTCAACAGAAAAATTGGCAGTTTAAAATTAGAACATTTATCTCAGGTTGTCTTTTCCAACTTCCTTGTTTTACATTTGCAGACTTTAAGGAAGTAACTTTCATCTCCAAATTAAGTGGCTAAATTACATTTACCCCTGAAAGCGCAATGTAATGACCTGACATAGTTGTCTTGTTTCCACAGAAGCATTCTGTTTCTCTTGTTACTGCAGTTTTTAAAATCCTTATTGAGGACAATTTTAACCTGCACAAAAGTAAAGAGAAATATATCAAATAATCCATTTGTCACCCACTTCAACAATAACCATTTTATACCTCATTCCCAGTTCTTTCCCTGCTGTATAATTTTGAAACAATTCCCAGACATTATGTCTTTTAATCTATAAACATCTCAGTATGTACCTCAAAGAAATAAATGATCATAATAACTAGCTAATGCAGCTCTAAATTTTTAATTGTTGGTCTCATTGTGGAGGAGAGAAAGGAATTGTGTAATTTGGAAGGTCTAGTTCAGTTCTACATACAGTGGTATTTAAGGCTTAAACTTAATTTGCTTACAGGTATGTTATTGGCACTTTGGAGCTGTTAGTAGCCGAAAACTACATGATAGTTTATTTAAATGGTGCAACAACTCGAAGAAAAATGCCCAGTCTGGGATGGCTCAGGAAGTGCTATCAGCAGATTGATAGAAGGTAACATAATACAGGTTGAAAACTAGACTGAATGATTTTTACAATGTCTATATTAAATTAAATTTTATTTTCAGTTTTACTTAAAGATACCATCTCCACTTCCTTTTTTTTTTTTTTTTTTTGGTGTTTTTTGAGACAGGATCTCACTATGTAGTTGAGACTGAACTGGAACTCACTATGTAGCCCAGGTTGGTCTTGAATTCACAGCGATCCTCCAGCCTCAGCCTCCCCAGTCCTGTGATTACAGGCGTGCGCCACCACACCCGGCTCCCAATTTTCTTAATTTTATGAGTTTCTATTCTCTAAAGGCAGTATTTTAGAATGTTATGAGCAAAATTAGTTTTGATCTGTCTTATAAAAAAATAACTCATTCTTCAAAACAAACTTAGAAGACTGTTCTTTATTTTCCTCATTTATACCATTTGGAGCACTTTCCTACAATTTATATCTTTGGAAAGAATGGGGAACATAGCACACTTTCTGTTAGTTTTTGGGTTTTGCCTGATTTGTAGTGCTTAGCATATTTTATCTTCCTTAAAGATACTAGTTCAGCTCTAATTTTCCTCAGCACAAATCTTTGAAATGTATTCTCATGGGAATTAGATATCTATGCTAATAGAAGGAATTTTAATCTTCCAACTGATTTGATTTTGCCATGGCTAATTCAAAATAGTTTAATCAACTTGGGCCCATTAATAGTTTCTCCGTCATACCTACACTGGACATTAGCTAACTCTTGTGATTAGGGGGAAAAGATGAGAGAGGGAGAGAGAATGTGTGTGTGTGTGTGTGTGTGTGTGTGTGTGTAGATCCATAGTCATTTTATTTGTATGTGAAATGTGTATGATAAATGATTTTATTTTGTTGGTTTTTTTTTTTTTTAAGGAGAGTAGTAGGATAATGCTTTTAATTTTTAATCAAAATTTTAAAGTTTGTTTTGTTTCCTAGGTTTTTTTTTGAAACAGGATCTTACTGTGTAGTTCAGGCTGGCCTTGAACACACTACATAGCGCAGGCTGCCTGGAACTCATGGCAGTCCTGCCTCAGCCTCTAGAGTGCTGAGATTATAGGCATGTGCCACCACACCCAGCTAAAGTTCTTAAGAATGGGTATCAGATATGATTTATGTTGTCTACTTTGGTCATCTCTGCTCCTGACTTTCTGCCAGTATGGTGCCTTTCATAATGTTGAAGAAATTAGCACCAATCTCTCCCTAGTCTTGGAAAGTGTTTACTTCTGTATTGTATTTCCATAATTGACAGCCCTGCAGTTACTGATCTGGGAGACATTTGATAAGGTTGGATGTAGCATAGATGTTACACAAGGAAGCACAATTTAGCCAAAGGAAGCACAATTGATTTTAGAGTAGTAGGAGGCACCATCAGAACTCAGAAACACATATCCTTGTCAGGAGTATCGTGCCTAAGTGGGAACTTCTGGTGACATTTTTCAGTTATTTTGAGCATTAGGGTGTTTGTAGACATGTATACATTTTCTTTTCTTTCTTTAACTCTAGGTTACGGAAAAATCTGAAATCTCTAATCATTGTACATCCCTCTTGGTTTATCAGAACACTTCTGGCTGTTACAAGACCATTTATTAGGTAATTTCCTGGCCCTTGACTTGAAAAAATATTTTTTTCCTTGTATGAATTTCTTATCAGTACTATGAATCAGAAATGTTGAAGCAATTGTCTTTATTTTCTTCCACAGCTCAAAATTCAGCCAAAAAATTAGATATGTTTTTAATTTGGCAGAACTAGCAGAACTTGTTCCCATGGAGTATGTTGGCATACCAGAATGCATCAAACAGTATGTTTTATTTTATTTAATTGTGTTGTGTTAACTATATGTTGATGTGCACGGGGTTGTAGTTTTCAGTATTCACTCTTTCTCACTTCATATAGTATTTGTAACAGCTTTTGAAGAGCGGAAGAAGCCTTTATCCCACATCTTCCCTATAAGTCACCATTTTCTTCAGACTGTCATTTTCTTCAGATTATCAATTTTAAGAACTAGCAGAAATACTTTCTGGTTATGCTTTCATTTCATACTTTTAAAGATTGGTGATTATAGTCAAATGATTTTCTGATTGATCAGTACTAAAGAACATTCTCAACTTGAACATGTTACTCTCCCAATTTGAGTGAACTCATCATGGCATTGAAAAATGATGTTGCCAGAAAAATAAACTTTTGTTTAAAGCAGCCCAACCCTAGTATTCCAGTGACTGGAATTTATTCTGTTTACCAAATTCACTTCCTTCGATCTAACTACTTAAAAGACTTGTTGTAAGGCTATTAACATAATTACCTGAGCCTCACATTGCTATTACTAGGAAAGTTTGTCGTGTATTCCAATATTTTAGACTACTTAGTGTGTCTATGCCACATTTATTAAGTCAATTTTTACTTTCTACATATTATGTTAAATATTTTTGATTTTGCATATAGACTAATGTTTATTTTTAGTGCCTTTATTTAGTTTTTGTTTATCCTCATGTATTTACTGAAATAACTCTTCCCCACCAAGGTATGAAGAAGCAAAGTTTAAAAAGAAACAAAAAAGGTATATGCACACCTTGACTGGGTTGCATCTAGACTAGTCCATTCGCATTGCACAAACTAACTCTTCTTTACTGGTTGGTTAGCCTGTAGACAAAGATGAGAGCATGTGTAAATATAAACATACCCCAGCATCTGAATGTGTGGTGAGCCCAAAACCCCTGGTACCGAGTATAACCTGGAGTCACCTAGTATGATATATGACTATATATAGTGTCAGTTAGGAATTAAAGCCCTCTTTCCTTTCTGTGTCTCTGAATACTGATGGTGAAACCAGAGAAGTTACTAAAAATACTTTTTGAAATACCAAGTGTATTTAAGACCGTTTCACCATTTTCTTTAACTCCCTAAATTGTACTTTTGAAGTGCTTTTTTTTTTTTTTAAAGGAATCAGTTTCCTTCCTTGGGGTTGATGATTATATTTGCAATGCATATATTCTTTGGCTAACCAACATTGATTTCCTTGTATGCTTAAATTAGCTTGCTAACCAGCCAGATTCTACATGTGGTAAAATACCTAAAAGTTCAATGTACCATTTAACACTTAAACACTCTGCTTTCCATTTTAAATTTAATTTTGAACACTTCTGCTTTGAGCATAACTATATCTTGATAGAGAAGATGAAAGGCTAAGGTATGAGGTAGTTATGTATGTAGTAACTAGAAAAGATTTAGATCTACTTTGTTAATAGATATTTGCAATACTGACAGATTAGCAAAATATATTGCAGTGTTTCCCAAGAATTAAGAGTTTTCTATATATTCTTTTGACCATCTAAAATCAACTGTAACTGTTACTGGAACTCTTAATATTGAACACATTTTAGTTCTGTTGGTGAGAATTCAGTAGAGCACGTGACAGAATCATGGCTTTACATTTCTGTGTGACACTATAGTTTAATCAGTACTAACAGAAAGGGAACAAGATTTTAGATCATACAGATGTCTCATTCCTTTCTAGGCATAGCTATGCATTTGCCAGGCAAGTCACTGAAATTAAAATATAATCTGGAATTGCTATTTTGAAGCCAGCTACTTCTTGTATTTCAAAACGAGTTGCCTTTGATAGAAATTTACTATGTCCTTTTTTTTTCAACTTCTTAGTATTCAGTTAACTGTCAAAAATACTTAGGCATTAGGGAAAAAAGTACACCTCGTACTTTTATTTAAATGCATTATTTGAAATCTGTCACTGTTATTTTATCTTGGTTTTTGTTCTTCAAGCCCTTGTCAGTCTGAGAATGATAAAACTTATTTTTTAATGAAATTTAAATATAGAAACATTTTTAATACCAAAATTTCAAGCACCTTGGTGTTAGAGCTTATTTAAAGTGCTATCTCCATGAGGCACAGTGTTCAGGAGGATAGGACTCAGTAGGTATTGAGGTATACAGTTGAAATGTTGCTGATTCAAACAGCTCAGTGCAAGTGTGGCCAGGTAGATATCAGTTTCAGTATTTCAACAGAGTTAAAAAATTATACCAGTTCATTCAGTACCTATGAATATTTCAGATTTGAAAAAATTAGACATGTATTGTTGCATGCCCTATCAGGAGATGTTTGATACCACTATAAAGAACATTTTAAAATGTTGACCTGGCTTTACAACAGGCTGAGACCTTTAGTTCTGATTCATTAATATTAGGTGATCAAGTGATAGATCATAGTAATGGGTGCTGATAATCATAGTAATGGAAACAAGTGTGAAAAGTGAAAAGTATCTTCTTACATTGTACCAAATTATTTTTATGGTTTTGTTTTTGTTTTACTTTTTCAGTATTAGGGATTGAACCCAGGGCTTTTGCACTGAGCTGTATTCCCCACCCTTTTTATTTTTTGAGACAAATTCCCACTAAGTTGCCCAAGCTGGACGCAAACTTGCGATCCTATTGTCTCAGCCTCCCAGAGTGCTATCATTACAGACATGTACCCTCAGGCCTGGCCATATCAGATTGTTTTAATCATTCCCATACATCAGTTACTCCCACCACTACAAATATATTACTAGACTGTTGTATGTTGTCTTTGAAGAAAGACGTGTCTATTATTGTGTGGTAATTGTCTAATTCTTCTAATCCCCAAATTGATAACCTTTCTCTCCATCCGACCACTAATCGATCCAGTGAAATTTTTAATGTATATTTGGATTTTTCTGAATGTTACATTTTCATGGCTTCTTCCAAAATCAATGAAAGGTGTTACCAATAAATTTTGGAGACTAGCTAGATTTCTATAACTATCCATTTTTATTGCTAGATTTACAAAAATATCAATTGATCAGTTGGCGGCTTTCATGACAGTTTGGTATTTCATTTAACAAAATCATTTTGGAGGGAGTTGTTTTTCCTATCCCATTCTCTTAAAACTTGGATTCTTGCTGCAGCTAAGCTGCATGTCATGAACTTTTAAGAAAGTTTATCTGTGTCTGTTTTTGTTTGCATTTTGTAATCTTTAAAGAAACAGTAGTTATGTTTCTTGCCAGTGTCCTCCTACCTTGAAATTCTGTTACCTCTTTTGGTTGGGAAAAATAATACTTGGTAATCTTTTTATTGTGTCTGCTTCTTTGCAAAGCTTTGTTTTTTAACAGAATACTATTTCTATGCTGAAAGTAGTCACTGATTTTAGAAAGACAGTTGTTCAGTTGCTGGTATCTTATTATCTGTTTTTCATTAAGCAGAGTCGATCAAGAGCTGAATGGAAAACAAGATGAACCAAAAAGTGAGCAGTAAGTTTGGCCTCAAGTTCAAACAAGACTGAAGAATGTGCTGATGAAGCCGTGTTCTATTTTACATTCTTGATGCATTTCTTGGCTTGTATTTTTGTGTAATCTGTTACAAAATCTATTTGACTTTGTAGTGGACTTTTGTACAAGGGATTGTTCACTGCTGTTTTGGTTTTTTAAAATCTCTTGAATTTAGCTCTTCAGTGGCTACTTATATTGTACTTACTTTATATTTTCTGTTGCTAAATAGCAGAGAACTACACTTTATGAAAACAATTTTTGCATTTGTTTGTTGAATAATGCATCTTCAGTAAGATATTTATATGCATAAATGGCAAAGGAAAAAAATAATATATATTTTTATGTTTTTAAACAATATTTTTTAATGTATACCTATCTTGTGGAAGAATATGAAGATAAAGAAGACCATGATTTTGTAAAGTGCATGTTAGAATTTGTGTTTTTGTAAATGGTTGAACACATTTCCTAGGTAATTTAAAAAATTAAGTTGCTCTAAGGCAAGAGACAGTTAGACTGGTTCTCATGAATACCCAAAGATAATGTACATAATCTTAAATAGGTTAGTACCGTCCCAGGCTCACTTGACATGTATAGTTCTTTAATCAAAAGTGCAAATACACTTTTTCCTTTTTAAAAACAAGTCCAAAAGCCATTTTTCAGAACTAGAGAATTCTAGAGGCTAGAAATTAGGGTTTGTATATATGTATATTTGGGACATTTTATCTTCTGGCCCAAAGTCAGAACTGTTATAAAAATCTTGGATTTGTTCACTAATGTGAAATAAGCTGTGTGTCCGGGGTCTTGCCCCACTGAATGCGTGAGTGCCATGTAGTATTGCAGAGAATGTGACAAGTTTTCGCTGTCACTCTTCTGTAGAATACAGGGGCTGCTTTTAAAATTCCTCTCACTGTGGGCACTTTACCTAAATACTTCCATGTCAGTTATTTGAACTCAGTGGTAGTTTGGCATAGTAAGATATTGTATGTTTTTAAGTTTCTGTAGAATAGTGTTTGACAAGTCTGTAAATTAGATTAATCCTATAGGTCTTAGAGCCTTATTTTCTTGTACTGTTTGGAACAACATATTTGATAAAAGCATTTAAGCTCCTTATTTGATTTGGTAATTACCTTTACATTGAAATAAATTGTAGTCGTGCCTCCAAACAGAGCTTAATTACCCACAAAATTGTTATAAAACAACTGATTGGTCTAGTAGGGTGTCATGCCTGGAAAGCATAAATACATTTATAAGCTTTCTACCTTCCATATTTGAAGATCATGCTATCCAGCCCATCCTTTAAGTTACTTTAGAAGAGTAACCTAGAATAGCAAAACTAAAATGGATGTGGGCTAAGCTTTCAAGATTTATTCTCTCCTGTACTGAACATATACATACCACTGTCAATTTTTAGTATAGAGTTTCTGTTACAAAAGGGAAATTTCTTTTACTTTTTGTTCTCCCTGGCCATGTGTTGTGCTTAACTTAAATCCAGTCACAGGAGGTGCTGGAGGATTTTTTTGGATGAAATAGTCTTCAGCAGCCTCTCACTTGGATCCTCCAGTTCTAGGCAGATCCTGGACTGATGTCATTACAGTGAACTAGGCAAAAACCACCATCTTAGAAACACTTCGTTTTGAAGAAGGAAACAAAATAACTACTTAGGCATTATGAGGCATTAGGAGGGTTATGATTAGACATGATATTTGTAAAACATTATAGGTAGTCTTGTCTATATGTCTTTATGTTCTTAATACCAGTGGAACTTTTTAATTGGTTGTTTTCTACCATGTTAAGTCCTTAGCTTCTGAGTTTGAAAAGTGTAAAGAGTAATTTAAACTTTTTATTGTACTTTTTAACTTTTACAGTCATTGTTCCTCACCTACATAGAACTTGTTGGAAAGTGATTTCTCTAAATTCTTTCTTTTTTTTTTGTTTTGTTTTGTTTTTTTTTTTGGTACCGGGGATTGAACTCGGGTCCTTGCACTTGCAAGGCAGGCCACCGAACCACTGAGATAAATCCCCATCCCCTTCTAAATTCTTTAAAAAGAGAGGTAGCCTATATATTCTGTTAAAACATTAAAATTCAGAGGAAACAATGGTAACACTTGAGTTACAGTGAAAGGGACAGGCTGTGAATCACTACCTTAAAAGGATCCATGTTTTAATCTACCTTAATGGAATCTGGTATAGGGATATACTCACAATAAATGTTTCATACTGAGAAGATTTAAGATGATAATTGGTAAATTAGAAGAAGAGATTTAAGTTTAGTTGTAATTTGTAACTATGCAGCATTTTCCCTTCTACTTAAATTTCCATTACTGACTGAGGTAAAAATACAAATCTGTTATCTTTTTCCTGGAGTCATGGATCTAAGTAAAATGATTTAATTTGCTCTTTCTGTAACCACATGTGAGTGCCCCTTTTTAGTCAGAAATTTTTCTTCTGAGGTAAGAAAAAATTTGATTGTGTGTTCTACTTAATCATAATCCTAAACAGACACCAAGGAAATGTATGATATCCTCAAGCCTGCCTTTAAGCTTAGTAGTCATTAATTCAGAGGGGATGGAGAAGATGTGAAGAAAGAGTATTCTAAATAGTAGTTGAAAAGAGAAAGAAAACTTTATAAGTGATAACAACTTATCTAAGGTGCCACTGACTACAGGAAGTGGTTCGTGTTATCTAGTGGCACCTTTTCTTGCATCCAGCAAGAACACCTATAGGCTACACACAGTAGGTAAAGAAACCATGGATTAATGGAGAAAAGCCTGATGACACCTATGATGAAAATTTGTGTTTTTCTCTGCTTTCTGTGTCTCTTGGTACAGAAGCAAGTTTGAATAGACTGAATTAAAATTACAGTGCTCAAATGTTTAGGACTGTTGTTTTTTCCTGCTTATCAGTTGGTAAACACTATCTTCCACAAGAGAATTACAGGCTGGTGGTGTAGCTCAGTGGTAGAGCACTTGTCTAGAATGTATGTGCCAGGACCTGGGGGGTTCAAGGCTCTGAATGGCGGGGGGGGGGGAATAGACCTCACTACTTTGTAGCTGCACTGATTACAGTACTGAAATCTGCTGATTGACCAGTAAATAGCCATAGCTAGAGTTTCTTCAAATGCAATTCCAAAATTTAAGAGTAAAGGGTCTACTTGACAGACTTCTTAAGAGGACCATAGCATTACCATTTGGCTATGTGAGTGCTCAGGGAATTCAGAAAAACGATTTAATAGAGAAGTGGCTTTCTAGATTTCTTCAGTTGACAGATACATTAGCATTACAGTGTCTAGTAGAAGAGGCCAGTTTCTTGATGAGTTTAAGACTGTATATATGGTGGCAGTAGCTTCAGCCTTCTTTTTCCCATGTTGTAAGTAGAAAATTGTTTACTTTGCTGAGGTAGAGATGTGCTGATGACAGAGATGACTACATTCTGTTTCTGTTTCGTGCCTGTTTTTCCCCATTTTATATGGGTATGTGTGAAATGGGGCACAAACAAATTCCAGAGGTATAGAGTAAGTAAAAGGAAGTAATGTAAGTTAGGCTTGTTTGGCTATTGAAGAGTTTGTCTTGCCGCAGGGAATAGAATTTGTGTATCTTGAATTGCTAGGAAAGAGTTAAGGAACAGCTGTCTGGAAGGCTGAGTGTGGAGGAAAGTGAGGTTTTACCTGCCCAGTGTTCTGAGGTCCTCTTCCTGAGGTGCTATGTGAATTTAGGATCATCGCCAATGAGGCCCAGTAATTTCTTTCCTTTAAAGTTCTAACTGGCAAGTAAAAATAAAGCAGTATATGGGACAGTAAGGATCAACACTAAAATTTGAATAGAACAGTTTGTTGCAATTAGATGTAACAGATCTTTACATAATGTGTTTTGCAAACTTTAAAATGCTGAGATTCACTGTATGTGAATTTCACAAATCAAGCACCAGATGAAAAATGTTTGCTTTCAAATTAGTAAAAATGATATTAAAATGTTTGTTCAGATAACTCTCAGGTTTTATCTTAACATTCTGCAAAAGGTTATGTTTGCATTTGAAGTTTTTAGGCATTTTTCACATTTAGTTTGACAGAGGAACTTAATAATATCATCTATTTTAATGTTCCTTTTTAATGGTTGCTTAATGGTTACACAAACCTACCTAGTAAATGTTGGTGGTATTTGGGCCATGGACTTGCACAGCCCTTGGGACACAGTTCACATAAAACACAATTCAAAGTATCAGTGCACTTTGATGTATGTTTCAGAAATATGTTCTTTACAAGTTCACATGCTGTCACTTGGAAAAACTGTGAGCTTTCTGTGATATTAGAATGATGCTGACTAGTACTGTCGTTTCATTGTGAAATTAAATTTTGATGTCTGTGTGCAACATGTTGATGAGGTCTCTAAGAAAGTGTTGGTCATGATTTACAATGTAGGAGATGTAATATTTTCTTTTCCTTTGACCTTTTAGGAATACAGTAACTTGTGTCTTTGTTGCACATAGCTTTGCAACGTTAATGAATTTAAATAAATTAATTGGAAAGTTTATATTTGCCTCATTTTATCACATTTTTTTCATTATGCTACAGATCTTTACACTGAATTATCTAATAAGCCTTTCAAATAATTTCAGGCCTTTAGTGTTCTTTATACTCTGGGTGCTTCCTATTCTGTGGGGATGGGGTGAACAGTTCTGTGATGATATTTACCATTGTTTAAACTGTAGTCAAACGAGGTACTTAATAGTTTAGAAGTATTTTTAGTAGAGGGTCTAAGGGTGAGAGTATAAAATATGAACACATGACATAAATTAAGACCTGTTTAGAATCCAGACCCAGTCGAGTTTCAGGTGGAAGCGGTGGTTTTTTGCTCTTAATGAGTATTCAGCTACTCAAGGGCCAACTGTTGGGCCTGCTGCATTTAATCCATTTAGGGTCCTGATCCACAGAATGAAGTATTGAGCTTGCGTATAAGGAACAAATTTGAAGTACAAACTGCCAAATGAAACTTAAATCACATGCTAAAATCCTAAATTAACTGCAACCCTATTTTTGAATGGGGTAGTTATCTCTATAATAATTCTCAGAATTCGCCTTTAGTATGGTACTGTAAGGTGGACAACAGTAAAGCCCAGACAAAATGTGAATTCCCATCATTTCTCAAACTGCAGCTAAGTGGGGACGATAAATCTGTGAAAATTACAATTCCCTCTGGAAGAATCAAGTATCGTCCTCGCCGCCCTGGGGTTTGAATAGCCGGCACCCCACCCCTCCCCTCGTGCCCCGCCCTCTCGATTGTAGTGGTGGGCGGGGCCCCTGGCGTGGGTCACTTCCTGGTTCCTCAAGCACTTCCGGGTCGCGGTCTCCGCTCTGCGGTTTTCCCAGCGGCTGAGGAAGTGGTGGGCTAGGCGGCTCCTTCTGCGGGCCCCTGGCCTCGCCTGTTCTGCATTCCGTGGCGGGAAGCGCCTCCCGCAGGGACTGGTGAGCGGGGCTGGGCTGCTGGCGGGCTCCGGGGCCAACTGGGAGGGCCTCGGTTCTCGGCCCTTTGCCTCTGGCCGGGCGCGGCGGGTAACGGGCAGGCCGAAGGCCTCGCCAGGCGGCCGGGTTCGCAGGCGGGAGACGCGTCGCCGGGTGTGGAGTCCGCCCTTCAACTTTTCCTCGCGCGAACTCCGGCAAAGGGAGATTTTAAACAGGGCCGTTCCGTGAGCGACCAGGACTGCTCGAATTTGGAGTATTCTGATTTTCTAAACTGCAAAATCACGAGAGTGCTGAATTTGCCTAGCCAAGACCACAGCTATAATGAGCGGTTGCAACAGACGTTTAAACACCTTATAGCCATTTTTTTTTTTAGGTAATTGGCTGTCAGATGGCGCGTGCATAACAAGAGCTTCTTTTCTTTCTTTGCAAAGTTTTTGTCTCCTGTTGGGCTCTTTCCTTTCCTTTTCAGCCCCCTGCCCTCCCCACCTTACGCTTACTGGTTTCTACCGTCAATCCTGATTGAGCAAATGTTTGACTCCCATCATGTTTTGGGCACTGTTCTAGATGCCCAGTTTATTTCAGTGAACAAAACAGACAAAAATCCATGAAGTTTATATTCTGTTGGAGTAACCAGAAGTGAAATGTAAAATAAGTACATTCTGTAATGTGTTAAAAAAAAAAGTACCATCAAAAAGAGTGAGATAAAGGGCATGGGAAGGTGCAGAATCAATGTGGGAATTGGTATTTTAATTATTGTGGGTCAGTTCAACCCAGTAAGACGCAGATTTAAGAAGAGCCATCACAAGGGGTCTTAAGAACATGCTTGTCATGCTCAAAGACATGCCAAGTTGGAGTCAGGAAGGAGTTTTATGCTGATATGTGAGTTGGAAATCATCAACAGGGATACTTATTTAAGCCACGAAAGGAATGTTACCACTAAGGAGTGTGTGTAGATGACAGCTATCAAAACCTGTGACATTAAGAGTTCAGTGGAAGAGGATCAACCAATAAGCAATATCATGAAGGGTGAACCAGCCTCAAAAGTTAAGTGTCCCAGAAGCCAAGCAGAGATCCTTTGGCAAAGAGAGTAATCAGCTTTGTCAAGTGCTCTAGTCTGGTGAGGATTGAAGATTAGCATTAGCAGTGCTGTGGATGACCTTCACCATCTGTTCCCTTACAGTGCTAAAGGGAAAAGCCCACTAGATGTGCATTTAGGAAAATTAAGAAATGGAAGTTAGTGAGTACAGATGGCTCTGTGGAGTTTTATTGCAAAGGAGAACAGAGAAATAGAGTGGACCTTGTGGAGGAAATAAGTTAGGTTTTTTTCCCCAAGATGGAAGAAGTAACTACTGGTTTGTTTGCTGATGAAAATGAACAGAGAAGGAAAATTTGGTGGTAAGAGGGAGAAGGAACAACTGAATTGTTAGAACAGTATCCTTGCTGGGCATGGTGGTTCACACCTATAATCCCAGCACTTGGGAGACTGAGGCAGGATGGAGGGTTTGAGGCCAGTCTGGGCTACAAAGTGAGACCCTGTCTCAAAAGAAAGAAAAACATGATGACACACACTCATAATCCTAGCCTTTGGGAGGTTGAGACAAGAGAATCACAGGTTTGAGCCCAGCTTAGACAAGTTAGTAAGATCCTGTCTCTGAATGAAAAAGGGCTGGGGATAATATAGCTCAGTGTAGATGTTTGGATTCAGCTCCCAATATCTGAGTTGGGATTAGGGGTACAGTATCCTCAAGTGAAGGGATAGGACCTCAAAGTTAGAAGGATTGAATTTAGATGAAGGCATGTGCAACCAGAATCATTGAACGAATTGCTTATGAACCAAAGTTCTGCTGTAGTTCAACTACAGTAACATCAAACAGGCAGAGTATAAAAGTATAGATATAGTATTGGTAGGTAGGTAGATGTGCTTTTGAGAGTCTGAAAGTTTCTATTGCTATAGTTTTCTCAAAGTAGAAAACTTTGTCTCTCACTTGGGTATATTCCTAATGTTTGGTGTTAGTACTTTGACATATCACCAAGTTTTTTATGCACTCAAATACTACTTTTTGAATACCTACTACATACATTGTTTTAGATGGTAAGTATAACAACAGAACTACCTTCCTGGATATACCTGTTGTAGTAGTTGGAGACGGGTGACAAAAAAAATACACACACACACACACACACACACACACACACACACACATATATCTCAGTTTCAGTTACTGGTATGAATGAAAATAAAACAGTGCGAGAAGGAAGAGAGGTTATTCTTACAGGTTGATCCCAGGCCTTTCTGCTGAGGTGAAATTTGAGGAGAGATCTGAGTCAAGTGAGGTAGTGAACTGTGGGTATCTGGGAAGAATATGCACAGCAGAAAAAAACAGCAGTGCAAAGTCCCTCCAACCAGAGAGCAGCAGGGACCATTGTGACTACAATGAAGGGAGAGTGTAAGTGGAAGAAAGTAAGGCAGGGAGGGTAGTAGAGGTACAAATCCTGTTTGCCTTGCAAACTTTCAGAAGGATTTTGGATGTTTTTGTTCTTATTTTCCTCCAAGACAGGTTGCTGTTGTTGGTAGTTTTGATTGGACAAATGGTGAGATTTGCCTTATGTTTTAAAGTCTTGCTGTACTGCTGTTGAGGATGAGGATGTGGGTGATATTGGCAAGAATAGAAATGAGACCACTTACTGAGCATCACATTAATTTTAGTGACAGATAATGGTGACTTAAAGTGATAACATTAAAGATAGTAGAAATTATCAGATTCTAGCTGTATTTAGAAGGAATAACTTGAAGGATTGACTGAAAGATTAGATACTGGGTAAGAGAAAAAGTTGATGTTGACTCAGGTCTTTGAATTGTTTTACTGGATGAGAAGGTATACTGCTTACTGAGTTGGGCAAGACTTGAGGATAGCAAAATTGGAAGGGTAGTTTCAGGAATTTGGCTTTAAGAAAATTTAAGCCTCCTGCATGATATTTTTTATTCAGTTTCAAGTAGACAGTTTTATATATGGCTACCAGAAGAGAAGTCAGGACTGTACATATGGATTTGGGAGTCATCAGCAGATAGATGGTATTAAAGCCAATAATCCTGGATAGAATTACCAAGGGTTTTAAACACGCAGAAAAAAGAAGACGTAAGAAGACTTAGGATAACTCAGTAGGTGGAAGTCAGGTTGCTAAGGAAGAATATGCTGGGAGAAGTACCACAGGGTTAGAGATCTTATTCCTGACATGTAGTAGAAGCTGGATAAAATACTTGTTGAATCTGTACTACAGGAAGGTACATCCCTTACCTGTTTCTAGTCTCATATGAAGCCCATTTGTCTGATCTTTCCTGTCTGAAATGCTTCAGGGACTATGGCTTTCTCTTCTGTCTGCCTAGAATGACTTTCCTTCTTTGTGCAACTGAAGTCTAGCTTTATGAATCTGAAATTTTTTCTGAGCCAACTTAGTCCACAGACTCCTCTCTCTCGGTATGCTGTGTATGTCTTTGTCACACTTTCTGTGTTGTACTGAAGTTAACCTTTTGTATGTCTCTAACTTATCGGTAGGGGGGGTACTGGGGATCGAATTCAGGACCTTGTGCTTGCAAAGCAGGCAGCGGAACCACTGAGCTAAATCCCCAGCCTCTTAACTTTATCTAGAGTGTAAGCTTTTAGGATCAGAAGACTATCTTATCTTTCTCTCTCTCTCTGATACCTGTCATAGTGTCATCCCCTTAGTAGGTGCTCTATAGATAACTGAATTGTGAGAGAACTGGAAAATAAAGGGCCAAATATGAGCTGAAGAATACCTGGATCAGTGACTGGACAGCAGTGAGAATGGATGGTACATTCTAGACTAAGGAAGACTAGAAAGAAATAGTAAAGAAACCAAGCACTTTGGCTCACACTAGCTACTTGGGAGGCTGAGATGGGAGGATCAGTTGAGACTATCTCAAAAAACTTTTTATTATTTAAAAAAAAGATGCCTATGTCAAAATCACAGAAAAAAAGCTAGAGAAATAATTTTTATCCTTTGAAATCTCAAAAGTATTATATAGTAATCTGTAATAAGAGTTCTATATTGAAAAATATGAGGTAGACTATATTACATACATAATTTATGATGTTATAGTGTGATCTTTTTAATTATTTTATATTAAATTTTTAGGATATCAATGCAAGCCTGAAAATAAAGTAATTTCTTCCTCCTGAGTCATGGCATATCAGTTATACAGAAATACCACGTTGGGAAACAGTCTTCAGGAAAGCCTAGATGAGCTCATCCAGGTGAGAGATTGAAAACCACACGTGGTCACTTACATGAGTGTCTTATCATGTCCCTTATCCCAGTCAGAAAGAGATGAGGTAAACTTAGACCATTTGGCTCAGGAGGTCAGTTTCTCTGACCGATGAGCAAGGGCAAGTCCCTATTTATAAAATATGATGATTGAATAATGCAGTTAAATAGGCAGAACTCTTCAGATTTTTATGAAAAATTTAAATTGATGATTTTATATTTAGAAGAAGGGCATATTCTGTGTAGCTTTAAAAATAATTTTACCCATCTGTACCTGTAATCCCAGCACTCTGAGAGACAGACAGGATATGCATGTTCAAGGCCATCTTGACAAGACCCTGTCTCATAATTTAAAATAAAAAAGGGATGGGGATGTAGCTCACTCAGTTCAATGGCCCTGGGTTCAATTTTGAGTACCACAAAATAATAGTAATAACATTAAAATTTAATCGACATCTTTTGAGATTTAAATTAGAATTTCAAATTTACATTTCCGTTTTAGAACAGTTTTGTTTAAACTGCCCAGTTGAGAACATATTGTTTCTGTTTATTTTGATATTATTACATGGAATTAGGTAAGATTTCATCTCTTTTTAATAGATCCTATGTTTTTTTATTTAGAAAAATCTTGATTTCCTCTACTTTGTTGAACACTTCTTTCCAGAAACAAAAAAAGATAGTTTTGTTCTAGCTTTTAAAAATCACTATGTTTCTTTTTCAAAATACGTTTTTTTTTAATGTGTGAAGATCAAAAGTATTTTCAAACTTTGCTTCTTCATTGTCAGTTATGACAATGGTGAATCAGGAACTCTAGAGGCTCTGGTTATCCTCAGTTAAATTTTAAGTGGTAATTTGTACATTTTTATTTATTCTTATCTTTAATGTTCTTCCCCAAGAGGATTTATAACTTTTACTTTTTCTCAGTCTCAACAGATCACCCCTCAACTTGCCCTCCAAGTTCTACTTCAGTTTGATAAGGCTATAAATTCAGCATTGGCTCAGAGGGTCAGGAACAGAGTCAATTTCAGGGTAAGGATATTTTACTAAATCTAGAAGCCTGCACCAGTAGTTGTTAAAGCAGTGTTTTTTAAGTCCCATATGTATTTTTTAATTATAAGAGGAAGAGATGGCTGATCAATTTATAGAACTTGTTTGCAAAAACTGAACTGTGTTTTATTTTTGTATTAGCTATATACTACATTTGTGCAGTTAAAGTGACATACAGAGTTGTTTTGAGATTTTTATTCATTGTTTGTAAATCAGCCTGTTTGGCTCTCTTCCCTGAAGAATTGTTGAGATTTCAAGTGTCTGAAAACAGTAACTGCAAGATTGAAGGTAAGTAGTGGAATAATCCCTGAGGTTTAGTTATTTTTTTCAAACTCTGGCCTTCCCCTTTTCCAGGAAAGTAAAATTATTTCTAGAACCTTCATGTGACCTCCCACCTACTTTTAGGTAACCTGGCTTTTAAAAACCTGAACTAACCAGTTATTTTAGTAGCATGACCTCATGTAAGTCACTGAGACTTTGAAGAATCTTATAAAACTGAACAAAATTATCTCTCAATTTTATGGTAATTGTGTATTAAGAACTCATTGAAAAATGGTAGAACAGAAATAATTTTACCACAATAATTTTATTAATGGAGCCATATAATATTGTAGGGTATATTGGGTTGTTACATTTAATATCAGTGCTTATTTTGTGTTCTAAGACATAACCCTCATGTAGAAATTGGAAGGTTAAAATATATGAAGATAAGTATTTGAAAAGAACTTCTGAATTTCCTTGCATTGAGAAGCTCAGTGTTATGGTATGGAGGTTTTAGGGAGGTGGTTGTTGTAGCTGTTGTTGTTCTTGTTGTTGTTTCAGTGAAAATGTTATTTAATAAGTATTTGATTTCTTATGTTGTCCTACATACTGGGAATAGAGTTGAACAAAGTAGTAGTGTATGAGTTTCACATGCCTAAAATTTATCTGAAATAAAAGATGTCTTTAAGATTAGATAACAATCACCAAAAAACAAAACAAAACAAAAAAAAGATTAGATAGCAATCCACTGTTCAAAATTATGTTTCTAAGACTATAAAATGTGATCAGTGGATTCTTGATTTTTCTTTTTTCTAGTGTTGAGTATCAAATCCAGGGCTTCATGTATGCTAGGCAAGCTCTCTGCCTCTGAACTACATTCCCAGCACAATTTTTGGATCACTAGTGTCTCTGACAAATTTCCTTTGTGTTTATATAGCCATACATAAAAAGCTGCCCAGTTTCATGTGTGTGTACATCTATGAGAGAGAGAGGGAGAGAAGGAGGGAGGGAGGGAGAGAGAGACACACACACACTGGGAGTTAAATCCAAGATCTCATGCATTTATGCTAGACAGATGCTCCACCACTGAGCTACATCACTGGTCCCCCATCCTTTATTTCTAAATTGTTTCATGTTGATACATAAACTTCTGCCCACGTACAAAATATGATGAACCACTTGTCAGAGACAGTAGGCTTCTTACAGCCTCAATAGTCTTCTCATTGCATCACCGTAGGTTTGAAGTTTGGATCTCTTTGGCTAAAGTTAATTGGACACTTGGCATTTCTCTTTCATAATGTTTTGTAAGTTTGTCTATTTCCCAAAAGCTACAGTAACAGGCTTGATCAGGACTTTCTTTTCCATTCATTTTTCTTTACCCACTGCTACTGTGGTTAAGGCTTTTGTCACCCTGCCCCACCGGATTATCAGTTTTGACTTGATCAATTTGAAGTCCAGAATATTTGCAAATAGTGTTCTCTTTAGCTTGATGTAGGATATGACAGAGATAAAAGAAATAATATATAGTTAATAACCAACTTTCAAAGCCACATTGCTGGATCATATTTAAATATATATTTTTTTTTTATTTAGAGTAATTCTTGTCCTATAAAAAGATGAAGCACCCACTAAAGAAGAGAGTAGTTTTATGTAACATGTTAAATTTCTTTTGTTTTAAATCTACATATGAATTCTATGTAAGTGAGATTATTTCGTAGATTGTTATAGGGAAAGCTGGGCATGGTGGCGCATGCCTGTAATTGCAGCACTCAGGAGGCTGAGGCAGGAGGATCGCTGTGAGTTTGAGACTAGCCTGGGCTACATAGTGAGTTCCAGGTCAGTCTCAACTACATAGTGAGACCCTGTCTCAAAAAAAAAAAAAACATTATTATAGGGGAAATGAGATGAATATGAGAGATGTGGCTTCAGTTTAAAATTCAAATGTCAAAATGTAAATACCAAGAAACTTGAACTGGATTTATTTTGGGGGAGAAAATTTATATTGAACTAGTGTAACTAGGACTTTAAAGATCCAGTGTATGTTTTGGGGAGACTATACACCCGCAGATAGAATTAAGTAATGACTACTTAAATATTGTAATATTGAATATTACATTAAATATGATAGTGAGCTTCAAATAATAAAGCAAGCTTTAAAAGGTTTAATGATCAAGAAAAATCGCCCTCCTGCCTGGCAACTGCAAAGCACTGAGTTCAATTCACAGTACCAAAAATAGTAGCTCTTCTGATGACTAAGAGTTTCCTTTTCCTGTGTAATTGTTGATGTTTTTACAATTAGCATGTATTGTGCAACTTTTAAGATGTTATTTTAGCCTTAAGAAAACATGTTGCCTGCAGGCTGGGGATTTAACTCAGTGGTGATGGGCCTGCCTTGCAAGCGCCAAGTCCTGAGTTCAAGCAGTTTGCTGTACTAATAAATATCAGAAAGTGAGTGGCCACCATTTTAAGCACCTTTTGTAATTGTAGAGGCCAAAAATAATCTCAAAAAATTTAATATTAAAATACTTATACAAGTTTTTCTTTTCCTGATGTATACATTTTTTGGCACAATATATATGAGATATATATATATGAAAATGTATATATGAAAATATGATTTGACCACATTGAGTAAATGTTAGTCAGCATTTGACAAAAGTTAAATGTTATATAAAAGACTTTTTAAAATATAATTATTCTTTCAATCCATATTAGTATACTTGGGATCCTAAATGGGTTCTGATTCTATTTAAGTAGAAAAATAAAAAGTAAAAAAACTATTATAAAGATTATTACATATCAGGGATTCTAGTTTACAAAATTATTCTAAAAAGATTAGACTTATGTCATTAATCTCTTATGTTTTAAAATTTTTAAATATTTATTGGCCCAAAGTTATCTAGCTAATATACTCCCTTAATTACGTTTATCATAATTATTTTAATGTAATTCTAGGTGAAATTTAATTTATAACATAATTTAAGTTTTGACAATAAAATTTTGTAGCGTTCTGTTTTCTCAGTAAGTCAAAATATTTACTAAAACTAAGAATTTCAACACACATAAGTAGATTTTTTTTAGCGGAGTGTGGTTGCACACATCTATGATCCCAGCACTGCACAAGTCTGAGGCAAGAAGAAAGTTCAAGAACCACCCAGTCAGTTTAGCAAGACCCTGTCTGAAAATAGCTCTTAAAAAAAATGAGGGGCTAGGGATATAGCCCAGGGGTAAAGCCCCTCTCTGTTTGATCCCCAGTACTGAAAAAAATTTTTTTTTACTCCTAGCTACATCCAGAATGCTCTGTTTATATTTTTATTTTGTTTTTTTTTTTTGTTTGGGGGCCTAGTACCAGGGATTAAACTCAGGACCTTGAACTTGCCAGGCAGGTGGGGTGCCACTGAACTGTATTTCTGGCCCTCTGCTTATATTTGAAAGTGAATCTTCACATACTAACCATGAATCCCAGTAACATGCTTTTTGTTCATAAGATTGGCTGTGAGAATAACCCACACACTCACAGGATAATTGGTCCTACACATGCCAGAAATAAACATTGAGTTGGCATTTGCCAGTTTAACCTTCCAGAGGTCCAAACTATAACAAAGAAGCACCTTGAATTTTTTAATAGATTTGGAATTTTTTTTGGTTTTGGTTTTTGGTGTTGGTTTATTTGTTTTTGAGACAGGAGTCTTGCCATGTAATAGCCCAGACTGGCCTTGAGCATATGATCCTCCTACCTCGGTCCCCCAGACACTATTCTGGGTTTACAGCATGTACCACCACACCCAGCTAGATCTAATTTTTAAATATACATTTTATATTTATAATTCTGTCCTTTTCACTTAACATTGTGTCATAAGTGATTCTTCCATGTGTTAATCTCTCACTTCTCTTCCAAGTAAATTTTTACTAAATCTAATGCATAATTTTATAATCTAATAATATAATCTAATGCATAATTATAATACTATTAATTACTCCCCTTTGTTTTTCAAAACTCAGGCTCCCTTGATACCATCCTCTCTTATATTTTCTTCTGTCCCTGGCCTCTTCCTGTCAGGCTCCTTTGTAGTTCCCTTCTGATTACCTGTCACAGTTGTTAGTATCCCTTAGGGTTGTCTGGAGCCTCCACAAATTCTGCTTGAATGATCTCATCCACCCCTGTGACCTTCATGTAGGTGGGTGTGCTTCCTTGCCTTCTACATGCCTCTCTTTATTGGACATTATTTAGACATACCTCATCTCAAACATGAACAGCTTCCAAATTTAACTTTCCTCCAACATTTTTTCTGTGAATCTTTTGTTACTTGGTCAAAAGTTTGGGAGTCACCATAGATTTATCTCTTCCCATTCCACTTTATCATCGTTTTCAAGTCCTGTCAGCTACCTTTTAAAATCCCCTTTTCTATTGATCCCCTTGCTACTACTGTAGTGAAGCCACTTCCACCTCTCTGATACAGCTGGTTAAGGGCAGTCATTTATGCTGTCCCTGCCTCCGCTGTATTCCCCTGTAGCCCATTCTTCGTGTCATCACCAAAGAGTAAACTAGTCATGTGACTCATCAGTTTAAACTCCTACATTGGCCTCCCAGTAAGGTTAGGATAGGGTAGAGCTTTCCAGCATTCACCATGGTCTCCTTCACTTAATCCTAAAGCATTCTGTTTTCTGGAAGCTCCTGGGCCATTCTGAGTGCTTTTTCTACCTTTCCACTGTCCTACCTCTCCTTTGACAGTTCTTACTCATTCTTCAAGGCTTAGCTTCCACTTGTGAGAGAAGCTTTCTCCACCCTGTTTTCTCTGTTGCCTTTGTCCCCATCATGTCCAGTGACTTAATCTCGCACAGTGCTGTTGTACTGTAATCTCCCTACTTGGCACCCTCAGAGCCCAGCCGAGGTTAAGAGTGTCCCCATCATGTCCAGTGACTTAGTCTCGCACAGTGCTGTTGTACTGTAATCTCCCTACTTGGCACCCTCAGAGCCCAGCCGAGGTTAGCACACAATTACCACTCATAGTCATTCCTACCCACCCAATCATTATCCCTTGACAACACATTTAAATGGAACCCAGTTTTTGCTATTACAAATAATACTGCAAATTTGCTATTATAAATTTTGCTTGCTGTTTCTTTTCCTGTATTAAAGATTTTTAAGCATTTAAATGTCTTCTTTCAAATGAGATTTCACATGTAAATGTGAATACATGTGTGTTTCAGGTGTTTTCTTGTTTTGGTTTGGTTTGGTTTGGTTTTTTGGGGGGTTTTTTTTTGACGCCTCCTACTCACTATGTAGTCCAGGCTGGACTCAAACTTGGTGATCCTTCTGCTTCAGCCTTCTTAGTTCTGGATGAAGGGTGTTCCATGACACCCAGCCTGTATGTCAGGTTTTGTTGTATTCTATTTTTGTTTATCTTTGTACTCTTTTAATGTTCAAATATTTATTTTCATTCAAAAATAAATTATTAGAAGAAAGTTAGCTGCATAGAACAGTGAATGTTGTCATCATCATGGTTAAAGCAGTGGTGTATCTAATTTACAAGGTTAAAACTGATTTAACATTTCTGAGAAGTCCCTGTTTTTGTACAAGTATAGAGAATTAACGTAGTAAAATAGCTGTATGAAAAGTTCAGATGGACTTTCCTAGTTTATCCACTAGAGGGCAGTAGAAAACAAATTTGTTTGCATTCAGCCTTCATTTCAGATAATTTAGAGACTCTTAGTGCAAAAAAAAATCTACTTTTTCTAGGTTTTTCTTTTGCTTATTTTTTTAAAAGAAAATAGGATTAAAATTAAGGAAAATCTTAAGCAGAGCATTAAGTATAATTATTTTAACTGTAATTGTTTTAACTTGGCAACTAAATCTCTTAAATTTCTTTGAAGAAAAATGTGAGGAGGGGATGACTTTTCATGATATATCAAATGTTTTGTTTTGAAGGGCTCTCTAAATACATACAGATTCTGCGATAATGTGTGGACTTTTGTATTGAACGATGTTGAATTCAGAGAGGTGACTGAACTTATTAAAGTGGATAAAGTGAAAATTGTAGCGTGCGATGGTAAAAGTAAGTGTTTGCCTAATTACTGTAAAAGCAAAGCCACTTGAAATCTTGTTTTTGTGAGTCTTTGGAAAATCTTCATCTGTCTGAAAAGACTTCCGGGGGAAATGGTTAGATGATCAATCATCAGAGGCCTGGCTTCTTCTGTTCAGCTCCATTCTGAATTCCAGGGCTCAGTCTTTTTACTGACTTTAGGTGTATACATGTTTCAGACAATGCATAGAATATTTATACAGATTGGATTTACATAGAAAAGAAAATAAGCAAATTAATGTTTTCCTTCCCTGTTTAAGATCTCTGTTGCTGGTTACTCATACATTTGGTATTTTAAAAGTTATTTTAAAGCACATTTAAATTAACCATAAGAACTTTGCAGTCATGATGGTGACTATCCATTCCCTTAATCTCATATCTGTGCAGAGGAATTTTCCATAGCAGACCTGGGAATTTGTTTAGGTCCTTAAATAGTTCAAAAATCATAAATGTCTGCTTTCTGTTAAATAATTAATTTCCTTTTTCTTGACTATATTTTAAATATGCGCTCACTTCTACTTTGCAAACTAAACTATTTGTTTTTAAGGCAGCTATTGCTGATACTAAGTAGAAAAAACTGTCACTCTAAGAAAGGAAGTCTTAAGCAAAAGAAAAAGAAATGTAAAAATTAATATCCACATTTTTTGGGTAATGGGTTGGATTTCTTTGTCCTCTATTTTTTTTTTTTATTTCCAAAGAAATGTCTAACATCAAAGCATACAGAAGAAAAACATCATCTATAGAAATTAATATCCACATTTTTTGGGTAATGGGTTGGATTTCTTTGTCCTCTATTTTTTTTTTTATTTCCAAAGAAATGTCTAACATCAAAGCATACAGAAGAAAAACATCATCTATAACACCACTAGAAAATAAAACTTACTGCTTTTAATAGCAAAGACTTTCTAGTCTTTACTCATAAATTTTTTACCGTCATGTGTATCATGTAAACAAATTTGTAAATTTTTGCACATATTAACTATGTTCTACATCTGATTTCTAATGGCTTCATAAAATTTCACCTTCACCCCTTTTTTTGAGAAATACTTTCTTCCAGGTCTCAGAAAGTCTATGAAACTAGCAGCATAACATTGACTTGTAGAGTTCAGAAGTCATCAGATATTTAAGGTCTTTTTTTGTTGCTAGAAATAATACAATGATATTTGAGTCTTTTTCTTTCTTTTAATTCCTGTAGAGAGTGCCATTTCCTAGATCACAAAATAATAACATTTCTATATTTGAAATTATATGTAAGTTTTTCATATTTTTTCTTGTAGTTTAAGCTGACATCTTCATAACCCTTAGGTTTTTAAGTTTTTACTGGACTGTAGAATTTAAGCATCATTTATAATTCCTAATACTGTGTCAAAATGAGCTGATGTCCACCAGAGCTGTTCAGAATTTTTTTCTGTAATGAAAATGTTCAATGTCTGTGTTATCCAATAGTCGTGAATAGCTGTTGAGCACATGAAATATGATTAGGGCTACTGAAAAACTTAATGTTTTAATTTTATTAGCTAGTGCAAAGTAATTTAAATGTAAATAGCCACATATGGCAACCATTTCTGTCAGCATAAGATGTAGACAGGTAAAATGTCAGTTTCAGTCATTTGAACCATGGCTAAGAAATGAAAGAGTAAAGATGGCATCTGAGAAAATGTAATAATGCCAGAGAGTCCATGTATAATTACACATTTTACTTACAGGAGCTTCTCTCTGGTGGTCCTTAGTGTGTTACTTTTACTAAAAGATACAAAATTGTTTTTCCGAATTTAAGTGCATGATAAGTAGCAGATTATCCTTAGCTATTTCAGTGGTACCTAAGGAACTTCCCTCACAGCAAAGTTTAGGAATTGAATGTCTACCTCCAAATTGAATACTTAAGATCTTAGAGGCTGGGAATATAGCTCAGGTCACTGCACCTGTCTTGCAAGTGCCAGGTCCTGAGTTCGATTCCTGGTATCAAAAAAAAAAAAGAGCTCATATTGTATTCCATTTGCCCTGTATCAGTACAAAAGGATGCACTGTTGAAAATGTCTTTCCCGAAATTAAAATAGTTTGGCATTTGTAAATACAAGTAAGTGTAAATAATGAAGAAAATTCCTCAGTGATCACAGACAGATGAGGTGCTGCTGTAAAGTAAGTTCATTTTATTCTGAAATACAGTAAAGTTGAGTTTCTAATACAGAAGCAGAGAAAAATGATAATAGCTAGAATTTGTTTTACCAGGAAGACAATAGAGGACCTGAAAAAAACGTGGATATAAAATTTTCATGTAGGGCTGGGGATTTAGCTCAGTGGTTCTGGTGCCTGCCTCACAAGCGCAAGGGCCTGAGTTCGATCCCCGGTATCAGAAGAAAAATTTTTTTCATTTGAGTCAGATCTAGTCCAGTGTGATTTTTCCCTAACTTAAGCACTGAGAGCCAAGTGCTGTCTTTATCTCAGCCTTGAAAGGAACATTGTTAATATTGGGGCATCACTGTTGTTAGTTTCCCACCGCGACCATGTCTCCACCCGTTTCTTTTTTATAGTCTTTTTTACATTTAAAAGTAAGTTACTTCAGGGCTGGGGATTTAGCTCAGTGGTTCCAGTGCCTGCCTCGCAAGCAGCAAGGGCCCGAGTTCGATCCCCGGTACCAAAAAAAAAAGTAAGTTACTTCTTGCATTTACTCTTTCTCTCCTTTTCCTAGATACTGGCTCCAATACTACAGAATGAATAGAGGAAATAAATGGCGTTTTGATGCCATCTCCTGTTATTATTCATCGCTTTTTGAAGAGAAGCATAGAAGAGACTTTTTTTTTTTTAATTTATTCTAGCATTGCAGAAATGATGACACTGTATTATACTACCAGAGAATTCTGGCAGAAAATTGCTTATAACTATCCTCTTACATTACTTTTATTATAAAGCATGAAGAAACATAACTTTTTTCTTAATGACAAATCAGAGTTGTCACCCTCCTGAAACAATCTTTAATAAACTTATTTTAAACCTCAATGTGAGTAATAACTGATGGAGCTGTTAAGTAGGCAGTATAAAAATATTAGATAAGCATTTCAAAAGAACCATATTCCTTGCAAAGGAACTTAGAAAATGCATTCATTTGAAGAATGTCATGTTAAAATGGGTAGTGCACACCTGTAACCCCAGCACTCTGGGAGGCTGAGGCAAGACGATTGCAAGTTTGAGCTCAGCCTGAACTGCATAGCAATTTAGCAAAATCCTGTCTCAAAAATTAAAAGGACTGGAGAAGCAGCTCAAGACAAAGGGCCTGAGTTTAAATCCCAGTACTACAAAATAAAAAATAAAATGTTAGTTTCATCAGCTGAAAGTTTTATCTGATGAAAAACACTAAGTTACCAAAGGCCACTTGCAAGAATTTTTCTAAATTAGTGTCAGTTGAAATTCAGGCCTCTATGGAGGTTCAAAATAGTGGCTGGGAGACAAGTATGTTGCTAGTAAAATTTCTGTGAGTCTAAAAATTACAATTTTTTTTTTTGGTATCGGGACTGAACTCAGGACCTTGCACTTGCAAGGCAGGCAGTGGAAAAAAATTATAATCTTTCAAATTCTTTTTAACTGTAACCAGAATCTTACAGAAAGGATAGCACTAGATTTATAAGCCTGTTTAGAAACTTGAAATCCTGTGAATGGATTTCAGTTGATTGTGCTTGCCACAGAGAAGCAGTAACCTTAGGTGATGGGGTTGCTTAAACATTTGTGGCTTAACCTACTAATCAAATGGTGAGTGATGCCATTCTCTGGGTGCCTCAGTGGTGGTAACCTCAGCATGTCAGGTAGGCCTTGGCTCCCACATTAAAATTAACTTTGTCATCGTTGCACCCATGTGCCTGCATACATCTGTGACACCTGTTCTATGATCTCTTCTGACCTTCACTACCAATCAGCACAGTCTACTGCATTTAAGCTTGAAAAAGAAAAAGTTGGAGCTAAGATTTTTGTGTGGTCATGCCGTTTCTCTGTTTTTTATACCTTTCCTGTCAGAATAAAAATCCTACCCATCTTTCAGAACTAAACTCAGCTGCAACTGAGTGGAACCCATTTTGATCTCTTCCCTTTTGGCCTCTCAGAGTCATTTAAATACGTGAAGAAACACAGTAAAGAGCAAAAAGAATATAAACCTTTTGGAGACTAATGATAAATATTTCTCCCAAAGGAAGACACATCACTCAGGTATATATTGTTTTTATTTTGTATTGCAGCCAGCTTTTGAATAGCATTGTCCAAGTAAAACTATCATTTGTAAATCTTTTGGGGGGGGATTTTTTTGGGGGGGGCGGGTTTTGAGACAGGGTCTCACTATGTAGTTGAGACTGATCTGGACCTCACTATGTAGCCCGGGCTGGTCTCAAACTCACAGTGATGCTCCTGCCTAAGTAGGCTCCTGAGTGCTGGAATCACAGGCGTGCACCACCACGCCTGGCCATAAATTTTAACATACTAAGTTTCTGTTATGTGCTAGGCACGTGGACTAATATAAGAGTAGAACTATAAGGTTCAGCTCAACCCATACTTTCCCTTTTAATACAGTTGTGTTCTGTGAAGTGATCTATACTTAAGACTGCTCAGAAACTTGTGGCATTAGGCAAACTGCAATAGGACTAGTTTTTATTTCAGGCTGATTGAACTTGGGTCATTTGTAGTACCGTAGACTGCTCATACGGGTCACTGCTATGAAACGCCTCGGGTAAATACTACATTTCCTCAGGCAAAATTGGTTCTCATTTAATATCAGTCATATACACCTCCACTTTGGGGCGGGAATGCAGAAGTCAGAGCCTGACATGTCCTATCAGTTGTAATTATTTGCATATACAACATATCCTATGACTAACACCTGTATTGTGTGCCTTCTAATCTTACAATATCATTTCACACTTACTGGAATTACAAAAGAATGTCACAGCAAGAGCTTATACCATTTCCTGCTCTCCCTCCAAGCCACAGGCACCAGGAATTAAGCTTAGTTGTGTGTTAATATGCAAGAGGAGAATAATCAATCTACTGTGAGAACCAAGAAATGGCTGGGCTTTTATGGTAATGGACAGTCCTAGATGCACAGCTCCATGTTCTTTTTTGGTTTTCTTTTTCTTTTCTGAGACAGGGTCTCACTATGTAGTTCAGGTTGGCCTTGAACTTACAGCAATCCTCCCGTCACAGTGTCCCACGTGCTGGGATCGTAGGTGTGGCTAGCTCCGTGTTCTTTTAACACAAAGAATCGCTTCTTCCCTGGGTTTAATGTCAGATGATTGGTTAACTTACTGAGATCTACTTGCACCTGGCTTGGGGTGTGTATGTATGAAGTGATGTACATACATGTATATGTTGTGAGTTTTTGATAAGCAAATGTATAGGAATCAACTAGGGAAGGAATCTAGCATAGTTGTGAAATTTGGATTCAGTGAAAACAGTCCACGATAACGGGAAGTGAAAACTTTGATCTGTATAGAATGAGAGCAGATTACAGGAGGCCTTGATAACTGGGCAGGGCAATTCTTAGGAGGTTTTTTTTTTGGTTTTCTTTTTTTGTTTTTGTTTTTTTTTTTGTGGTGTCAGCAGTCAGGACCTTGCACGTGCCGTCAGGTGAAGCACCACTGAGCTACGCCCTGGTCCCTTTTAGGAAGTCTTTAAAGATATTCAAGGATGACAAACATCAAACAAAGCTGAAATATGCAAGAAAGATAAAAGTATTCAGGTAGAAGGTAAAATTAGTCTGGCTTAGAGTAATTATGGAAATAATATCTCTAGATCGAGAAAGTTTCCTTAAAAAATTGGCAAGTTTACAGCTTGGAAAGGAACATAAGGAGTATTGGCCAGGATGCCAACTCATGGTCACAATACAGAGACAGTTCATAGATGAGGAGCTTTCAAGGCTGGATGAGTTCATGAATAAGAAAATTAAGAGCCAGATAAGGATCTGCTTTTCTCAGACCAAAAAGGAAGAAAGCTAACTATACATCTCACTCAAAAGCCAAAATCCGTGAAAACACAAGCCATCTTCTATGCCATGGCTAATTACTTACACCTTTCTGGGTCCCTGCCAATACATACGTAGGCGAATGCTGTGGAACTGAATGAGAACACAACAGATTGATGTCAGTGTTGTTAAGTTAACCGGTTAAAATTTGTATCATTCACATATATATGTATGATAGAAATGTATGAATATAGAAATGTATATGATAGAAATTTGAACTGCTTCTATACCTATATATATGAGTGAGTGACAGAGTGAGTCACTGAGTGCCTGAGTGAGTGTGAGTGTGAGTGTGTGCCTGAGAGAGTGACTGAGTGAGCGGGGGACCGAGTGAGCACCTCGGTGAGTGCCTGAGTGCCTGGCTGACCGAGTGCGTGCGGAGGGACCTTGCCCTTGCCAGGCAGGTGTGGAGCCACTGAGCTAGAGCCCATCTTTCTATCATATATGTTTAATCTCTAGAAGTTCTCTTTGGCTGATGGAAACCTATAAACTGACAGCAAAGAAGCTTTCATTCCAAACAGGATAGCCGCTGTTCACTTTCCCATTTTGAAATTTACATACAATAAATTGCATATAAAAATATCTTTACTCTCTCCGAAAAGATATGAAGCCCCCACCATCACTGAAATTTTTCATACGATGTGAAGTCCTGTTCTTGTTAATTCTTACCCTTATCCCTGCTGTGTTCTGTAACAATCACCACCAAAGCTTTCAGATACAATAATAGGAGGGCAGGGTTTGGTGGTGTATGCCTGTCATTCCAGCTACACTGAAGATGAAGCGGAAAGATCACAGCTTTGAGATCAGTGTGAGCAAGTTGGTGAGAACTTGGCTTAAGGCCAAAATAAACAGAAGAAAGGGGAAATGATTAACATGTAAAACATATCTAAGGAAAAAAAACATCAGGTATAATCTTCATTTTTATAAATCAGATTTCTTTTAGCCTTTGGCGTTTTCTCTTTGCCTTTTGTTAGCACCTTTGTTGACTGCGATTCTTTACCTGCTAGGGAACCCTAAATACTTCCTTATGTAGTTTTTCTGCTGTTAGTGGGTTTCTGTGTATCACATTCTGTTCTGTTACTGAGCTTGCAGGCACTAAGAAGCACTCCCGAGTTACCCCCAGCCCTGTTGATGAGTAGCTGCCATTTCCCATTGGTTCAGCAGCACAAGAACCATGAATGCCCAAATGGAAGTTTCCAGTTCAATGGGACCATTGTTGGGACCTAAAATCTCCCTTGGGACCTAACATCTATAAACCTCCAGAGAACAGTGCTGCAAGCACAAGAAGTCTGTGTTTGGGTAGTCATATTGAGACAAATCTTTCTCTGATTCCTTTGGTTCCTGAACCATTTGATTCAGTGGCCAACCCATGAACAGAGCACCTCTTATGCCTAATTGTGATATATAAATACCATTCACACTAAATAAAGCTCCTTAGGAAGAAGGATTAAGGTAAGGACAAGAGCTATAATAAGCATGGAAGGTTTCCTGTATCAGAATGTACAGAGTTATCACAGCTTACTGGAGTCAAGTCAAGAGGACAGCAGTGCCAACTTTTAAAAGGCTCTCAAGGGGATTTCAGAGCCATAGTGGAGTAACAATCTGGTCAAGCTTCTGGATCTAAGTATTTTCTTTGCAAGAAATAGTGGGGAATGGAGGAGAGTGTTGAATGCTAAAAATATGAGAAAGGCCAACCTGAAGTACATAGTGAAACCCATCTGAAAAACAAAACAAAAGATAAAATATGGGAGACTGACTATAGAGATGAAAGTCTCAATCTGTTTAACAAATAGTCAAAAATAAAGGAGGAATCTATGAGGTTCAAATGGGTCCTGATTCAAATAACCTAACTGCAAAACGTAATTATGACACAATGGAGGAAGTTAAAACTGATGTAGCATCTGATAGAATCAAGGAGTCATTATTTTCAGTATGGTAATTTGTGCTTACAAATGGTATTAATTTCCTTTTTTTGTTGTTGTTTTGTTTTGTTTTTTGT